ATAATCATCCTTCCCATATTCATTTGAATTCAAGAACATAAAATCATGTCGTTGATTTCTTGCCGGCATGAACTTGGATATGTTGGACATTGCAGTTTGGATTCATTATGCAGAAGAAAGGTGGAGAGTACGGAGGGCTGAGTAGCGCGATGCTATTTTGTTTTATTTTAGCAATGACGTTAGGATTTTTAGAATCTCCTGTGTAATAGAATTGCGGCAATGGCATCTTTTTAATTCCTGAGGATTTGACTGAAAATAAAGAAAAGCGCATTGAATAACATCACTTTGGTTCCATTAAAGCTAACAATTTTTTTCGCTCTCATGTCACCATTTTGGCCAATTGTTATTACTGATGAAGATTATGATCTAATATTCAAGAATTAGAGCAGCTAAAGCCAAGCGAGACTAAGTTATGAATGATCAGTCATGTTTGTCTAAAGAAACAAACTGCACTCGCGTGTGAATGTAAAACGAACATCTAATATCTCACTCTGTTTTACTGCTTTGTATACTGTCGTAAGTTGTATATATGCATGAAAGTTGTTTGTACAAACTAAGCGCGAGGAGTTCTGCGATGAAATATACAACTGGCAGAATGGTATGTACCTGTGCAATCTGGCCACTTGGCACTATTACTTCCACCGTATATACTAAATGTGCTCCACTTCCCGCGGGTACAGTGGTACACTGTTGCTGGTCTGAAGGCAAAGTCGAAGTTGCTGTTACATGAAACTGTGCATACGTTGTTTCCTTGATAATTCCAACACGCTACAGCGCCATTAACCGGAGGAGGGATCTTTAGTTTACAATCAGGGACTGAAAAAATGTAATCCTCAGCAATCAACATCTCAGTCATTTCGTACATATTTGCAAATGCACTCATGTTCTTTTTCAATATCTTTGTTTTTTTTTTCCTTTTTTTTATATGAGAACCCTGAAGACACATTCTTGTTTCATTCTTACTAATCGTATAAAGGAAACAGATTAGTAATGCATGTAATCTAGACTGATACCTGTGAGTTTGATGTGGAAGTCGCAAGAAGCCTGGTTTGCCGAGGCGTCGATCGCTCTGTATGATATTGGGTAAACACCTGGAACATGGACCAATGAGCCGCGTCGAAGAGTCGACTGAATACTAGGGGGCATGTTTGAATTGTCAGATACCTGAAATGCACAGAAACAGTTAATTTAGAGTATTTTAAAAACTGTAACTCCTTCACTGGCTATTGAACTGATTTACACCAAATTTTGCATTTGCATTTCAATTTAAGGTCTTCATATCTATGTAAGGGACTACGCAATGTTTATCAGTTGGAGATGAGGAGGTGGTTGAGAATTGAGTCAAATATTCAAAAATTACTACAACCCCCCTCGCAAACGAAATAAATTACGCTCCGTGAATTTATTTATTTATTTATTATTCGTGACGTTGCCCTCTGATCCCTCTTTCAGTACATAAAATTAGATTTTGTCCCTTCCCCCCTCTGTATTTCCAACCCGGCCCCATCTTGATAAATATCGCGCAGTTCCTAAGTCTTTTCTCATCTAATAAGAGAGTTTTACAAAGTCCCACACTCGGTTTGATACCCGACAATGAAGAAAAGACGACACTAAACAAGCAACCAAGCCAATTAGTGCTGAATATACANCAAATTCGACTAATCATCGCTAGAATTATGATATTCACTTACGAAATTATACTAGAGCCATATAGTCATGATGAAATCATGATAGCTTACTACCTAGTCATTCGCTGTCGGTCTAAACGTCATGACATAATACTTTACTCAATGCACGACTAAACGTTAGGCAGCTTTTTCCCTGTGGCTCCCCATTTCCAATGTTGAGCTCAAAACAAACTCTCCTTCCATACCGAAGCACTCCCGCCAACAACATTGTTAACCAACATTGACTGTGGGGGTAGGGCTAGGCTTTTAGTAAGCATTAAAACAGCCCATAAGAGAGTGCATCTGCTAGAGCGCAGTAATAGCGTTCTGTCCCATTCAATTTTCTCTAGGATTGTAGGTTTAAGAAAATAGCTGGAAGAAAGAATAAATTTGGCAACCCCAATATTTATGCTTTAATAGCTCATTATAATCCGCTACAGTTATTTTTTACTGATAAATTTTATCTTAATCGATAATCATCCTTCCCATATTCATTTGAATTCAAGAACATAAAATCATGTTGTTGATTTCTTGCCGGCATGAACTTGGATATGTTGGACATTGCAGTTTGGATTCATTATGCAGAAGAAAGGTGGAGAGTATGGAGGACCGAGTAGTGCGATGCTATTTTGTTTTATTTTAGCAATAACGTTAGGATCTTTAAAATCTCCTGTGTAGTAGAATTGCGGCAATGGCATCTTTTTAATTCCTGAGGATTTGACTGAAAATAAAGAAAAGCGCATTGAATAACATCACTTTGGTTCTATTAAAGCTAGCAATTTTCTTCGCTCTCATGTCACCATTTTGGCCAATTGTTATTACTGATGAAGATTATGATCTAATATTCCAGAATTAGAGCAGCTAAAGCCAAGCGAGACTAAGTTATGAATGATCAGTCATGTTTGTCTAAAGAAGCAAACTGCACTCGCGCGTGAATGTAAAACGAACATCTAATATCTCACTCTGTTTGCTTCTTTGTATACTGTCGTAAGTTACATGTATGCATGAAAGTTGTTTGTACAAACTAAGCGCGAGGAGTTCTGTGATGAAATATAGAACTGGCAAAATGGTATGTACCTGAGCAATCTGGCCACTTGGCACTATTACTTCCACCTAATGTACTAAATGTGCTCCACTTCCCTCGGGTACAGAGGTACACTGTTGCTGGCCTGAAGGCAAAGTCGAAGTTGCTGTTACATGAAACTGTGCATACGTTGTTTCCTTGATTATTCCAACACGCTACAGCGCCATTAACTGGAGGAGGGATCTTTAGTTTACAATCAGGGGCTGAAAAAATGTAATCCTCAGCAATCAACATCAGTCAATTCGTACATATTTGCAAATGCATGTTCTTTCTCAATATCGTTGTTTTTTCCTTTTTTATATGAGAACCCTGAAGACATTTCACATTCTTGTTTCATTCTTACCAATTGTATACAGGATACCATTAGTAATGCATGTGATCTAGACTATCTACAATCCTGGACAAAAAGGTTGAGAATAACTGCACCCTTCAGGTCAGTTCAACAAAGCATCCTCTCTACCCCCCTCCCCCAAAACAATGTTGTTAGCCCTCAAACAGAATCCAGCAGGTATGTGTGGTCTTTAAAGTACAACTTTGAGCGAAGGGGAGCGGGGGTAGGACAGAAAAAGTTAAAAAAAATACGGAGACATTTCAACATTCAGCGATTTTTAAAACATTTTCAGCTCTTTTTGTCCAGGATTGTAGACTGATACCTGTGATTTTGATGTGGAAGTCGCATATAGCCTGGTTTGCCGAGGCGTCGATCGCTCTGTATGATATTGTGTAAACACCTGGAACATGGACCAGTGATCCGCGTCGAAGAGACGACTGAAAACTAGGGAGCATGTTTGAATTGTCAGATACCTATAAAATGCACAGAATCAGTTAATTTAGAGTATTTTAAGAACTGTCACTCCTTCACTGGCTATTGAACTGATTTACTCCAAATTCTGGTATTTTGCATTTTAATTTAAGTTCTTCATATCTATGTAAAGGACTGCGCAATGTTTATCAGTTGGAGATGAGGATTTTGTCCCCTCCCTCCTCGGTATTCTCAACCCGGGCCCATCTTGATAAATATCGCGCAGTTCCTAAGTCTTTTCTCATCTAAAAAGAGAGTTTTACAAAGTCCCACACTCGGTTTGATACCCAACAATGAAGAAAAGACGACACTAAACAAGCAACCAAGCCAATAAGTGCTGAATATACATTAGGCGAAAAATGCCATACTATTGTTTAGCACACTCTTGTACTGTTGCCACAGGAAGCCCATTTAAAATCGTTTTTTGAGTATCTATCTGGTATATACATTGAAATGAAATAGAGACCTTAGGGTTGTTCCAGTTGATTCTAAAAGTTCTTGAATCAGTGCTGATTTCCTGATCAGCAGGGCAGATTATCTTTGGCGGAGCAACATCTAGATAGGAATTTTCATATAATTGTCAATACGTGTGATCACTTGAATGAATGTTTGATGATGATAGTGCGATGTGCACGTGTCGGTGCGCAGGCCTTTTAATCAAATAATTAAAGAAGGCAATTTATTCAACAATACAATATATAAGAGAATTATTCTAAATGAATTAGTGCTTTTGTCAAACGTTACATAGCAACAAATTGAGATAGTCGAAAGAAGAATATTTTTCAAGGTTTAATTTCAATTATACCTATAATTGCAGAGCTCAATGCGTCATTTTCAAGTTAATTTAATTTGTGGAATGACTATTTTGATTTAACGAAGCTGAAGCAAATGTTGAAATGCAAATGTTTTTTGCTCGTCGGTAGGYATCTCCAAAAGATCATGAAATATAGCACAAACATACCTTTAACGTCAATTTTAAAGCTACAAGAGGCTTTATTCCCGGCTGCGTCTTTAGCTTCACATTTGATRATCGTTGTACTTGGAGTTTGCARTTGTARACCAGCTTTGTGCGAGCATGTTACCGATGGTTTACCGGATTCGTCTGTAGCTTTGGGAAATGGCCAGCAAACAATCGCTGAACTCTGCCTTGAATTCACCACCATATCATCGGGGCACCTGATAGCCGGTGGGAGATTATCTCTTGGCAGCCCTGYAATTTAATTTATTATATCAAAATGATCAATTCAGGGTCGTTAAATGGTATGTTTTTTGTTAGTGATTCATAATTATCTTTGTTAATTTTTGTCTCTAGTAAAAGCACTCTAAGTAAGAGTCGTATGATCATCGGTATAGTTCTGCATGTCACATGGCAATAAGAAAATATGTATATAATTACTGATAACATGCAGAGAGTATGAACTGTCATCCTTTATCTGACCTACCTTGGATACCACCATTAAACAAAAAAACCAAACCTAACGCTGTAAAGAATACCAACTTCATTGTTGATCGAGATGACACCAAATGATGTTGAGCTTTGTTGAATTAATAATGGTTCATTTCATGTACCAACGTAATTACTTGATCGAAAAGAATTGTGGGTACTCATGAATCAAAAATGATAGGCTTACTGTTCGTTATCAAGTGAGAAACTTTCACTCCGCCGTATTTGAGTAGTATCAATTTGGATTTTCACTAAAGCACTGTAAACTCTGACAGAATATTCTTTAAAAAAAAGTCCATGCTGACCAAAATTGTAGAAACTTATTATATCTGTAATCGAGTGCATAATTTGGATGTTCAACGTTTAYTCAGCTTCAATTTATATTATTTGAACATTCGGCCAACTGAGAAAACTTTACCCACATCATATTACGACTAAAAATAATTGCATGAAAAATAATAAAAAATGTACTCTTAGATATGAATTTCGTACGTACGTTGTCTAATAATTGCCTGCTTGACACCTGTAAATGAAATGATACAAAGAGACTTCACAATAAACACTTGACACAMGCATGTTGAATTTCATATGCTTCATGTTTTATAGGATCGCGTTCCCGTTTTTTCCATAGTACGTGTACTAATCGTACTCAACCGTGTTCTTGTCCTTCTCCGCAACTAAAATAGCTCTTTAGAGAGTGTCAACTGAAAGCTAGTGTAGGACCGCTTGATGTGTGAACGTATACTGACTAACGAGAGTACACAGGTATATTAACTAGCGACAACACATAATAACAAACAATTTCAATATAGCAGAAACCTGAGGTGTATTAACAGAGATTTAACTACCGAAACAGTTTGCTAAGGCAAGAGTAGAAACTTAGAACTTTTAGTATATGTGAGAGGAGGAGGGCAATAACCCTTTCGTGGTTAAAACACGTTGTATACGGTAGAACTGTCGTCTTGCATCCAGAATCGGTCAGCAACCGAGTTCCTTTTATTTAAGAAATAGAAAACGGCGCGCGTGTCTCTGTCCTCTGATATAAACACGGTGGGAGTTCGAAAAACACGAGAGAAGCAAGCTTAGGAACACGAGCGTAGCAAGTGTTTCTCTTGCTTCTCGAGTGTTTTTCAACTCCAACCGTGTTTATATCAGAGGACAGAGACACAAGCGGCCGTTTTATATTTCTTTTATAAAATTTTTCGAGCGAAAATACAATTTTGCCGGTAAGCCGTGTCTCTGTCCTCTGATATAAACACGGTCATCAGCCAATCAGAGCGCGCGTTATATATCAAAAATTTTATAAAGTTGCTTATATATACTTTGCAATGTACTTACGAAAATAATTTTCGGCGTTTATTCATGATCAAAGGCAGGGTTTTTATTGACACGACTTGTGGCTCCAGTTCTCAATGATRTCTACCACAAAGTTGAATTTTGCCTCGTTTTGGTTTTTATATTACGAAAAGGGCTATTTTAATGATCTTTTAAGAATATATACTTTCATTGTTTATTTCCACTTGAACGTTTTGCACCCAGACTGTTTTAAGGTCCTTTTTTCGTAGGGGATTACGGGACTCGTATTTGTTTTTTAATTTTCCACTGACACTTTTTCACTTATAAGTGACAAGCTATATCGATATTATATGTGTAATGACTGTTTTTTATCAATAAAGATTACAAATCACACTTTATGCAGTCCATACACGTTGTCGTAGTTTCTCCTCTTTAAATATTTATGGATTTAATTTTGACTTAAAATTGCATCACAGGAATACAGTCAAAATATGAAAGAAGATTGCAAACCCAAKATTTATGCTTTATTAGCCTATTATAACCCACTACAGTTGATTATTAAAGATACTTTTAATATTAATCAATAATTATCATTTTCATTTTCATTTGATATCAATACTTCATTTTAGAGTTCAAAGCGSCATCTTGAAAGGTAGCCGAGACTTTGAATCAAAGCGAGACAGAAGTTGAGCTTACAATGATAGATACCTGACAATTAGTAATTGTCTTAGGTGTGATCAAAAGGTATCTATCAGTGCAGGCTCAACTCCGAACTGCCTCGCTTTGACGCAAAGGCCTGGTTACCTTTCAAGATGAAGCTTGGAACTGTAAAATGGAGTTTTCAAGAACATAAAATCATGCCGTTGATTTCTTKCCGGYATGAACTTGGATATTTTGGACATTGCAGTTTGGATGCATCGTGCAGAAGAATGGTGGAGAGWATGGAGATCGGAGTACTGCGAGACCGTTWTGTTTGATTWGAGCAATGACATTGGGATCTTKGGAATCTCCTGTGTAATAGAATTGCACTGGCATCKTTTTCATTCCTGAGGATTTGACTGAAAATAAAGAAAATCTCATTGAATGACATCACTTCTGTTCCATGGAAGCTAACAATTACTAGTCTTCGCTACTGTGGGTCCAAATCACCAAGTCATGAACATTTTGTTGGGTGTAATTGAGAAATTAAAAATCAAAAAGTTAATTAGTACTACCAGCTTCACAAACAAAATACACTACGCTCGGACTGCCCCCTATTCCCCCCCCCATCTCCCCAATTATTAGTCGTGCATAATGAGTTGTCCACTTCAACAAGTATTTGTCCAAAATGCACAGAATCTGACACAGTCAGTTGATTTTTTCAGTTTCCACAATCAAAGTTCTAGTTAATTTCGGACCTTGTCTTCCTCTAAGTTCATAAAATTAGATTTCCCCCSTCCCATCTGTCCTGATMAATATGGCGCTGTCGATCCYTTAGTTTTGTATGCAATAATTATGWAACTAAACGATACTAATGTCTGCTTAACCACCAACACCAGGCTAATAAGAAACAAAATTCACCCATATCAGCAAATCCAATCTCTCATTCTGTTAACGCCATCCTGTTAATGCTATCCTGTCGTAAGTTATATTTCACGGAAGATTAATTATTTGTAGCGCAAAAGGGTTGTTTGATAACAGATATCACTAAATGATATAGAATGATATTTACCTGAGCAATCTGGCCACTGGACACTATTGCTTCCACCGAGTATACTAAATGYGCGCCACGTCCCGCGGGAACAGACGTAAATCCTTGATGGCTTGAAGGAAAAGTCGAAATTGTTGTTACATGAAACTGTGCATACATTACTCCCTTGATAATTCCAACAAGCTACGGCACCGTTAACTGGAGGAGGAATCTTYACTTTGCAATCAGGGACTGGAAGAAAGAGTGTGTGTCTGAGCAATCAACATATCTGCTAGTATTTTAGTCAATTCATATATATTTGCAAATGCATGTTCTTTTGCGGTATTTGATTTTTACTTTTTTATAGAAGAACTCTCATGATATTTACCATTCTTGTTTATAAGACGAAATAGATACATTACAGGATATATTTGGGACAGAACAATAACAACAATTTATTAAGACAACTTTTAAATACATTTACAGGTAAATCAGACCTTGCAGTGGGACTATTCGAGGAGAGGGTGATTTGAAAAATATAGAGAACTTGTTACATTAGACAGTAAAAAATATCGAAAGTTCATTTTTACAGGGGCAAAAGGGAGTGATAAAGAACATGGCCGGTTTCTTTTTTTCMCAACAAACTGATCTCACAAGTAGTGTTATAGAAAGTTTCAGAATTGAGRGAACTAGCGGGAAAATAGTGTGAGCTGCTTCGGTGTTTCTAAAGAAACAGTTGTGTAATAAGATAAATTTAACACCGTAAAAACGTGAGGAATAACTTACTGACGTTTCGGACGTTAATCCTTCGTCTGAGTAAAGAAAGTTTCAGAAGTCTATTGTACACAGGAAACCCATAAATGGTAGAATCATATAGCAATGCATGTAATCTAGACTGATACCTGTAAGTTTGATGGTGAAGGAGCATGTAGCCTGATTTGCCGAGGCGTCGATCGCTTGGTATGATATTGTGTAAACGCCTGGACTATGGACCAATGAGCCGCGTTGATAAGACGGCCGAACAGTAGGGGGCATGTTTGAATTGTCAGTTACCTGAAATGGCACAAAATCAGTTAATGGCCACAAGGGCCAAAATGCTCGTTTTACGATCCAGCAACTGCCAATATAATACAAGTTACACGCAGTTTATATCACTAATTACTACTAAATAGGGATAAGGAAAAAAGAGATGCACGTTTATTATAGAAATGAGTACTGTTGCCACAGGAAGCTTTTTATAATCGGCCTTTGAGTGTCCATTCAACATATATATCCATTCTTATATATAAATGAAATAGAGACCTTAGGATCATTCCAGTTGATTCGGAAAGTACTTGAGGAACCAGTGTTGATTTCCTGATCAGCAGGGCATATTATCTTTGGTGGAGCGATATCTAGACGATAATTTTCATTATATGTTTAGTTAATGCGTTATATGTTTAGTCAATGCGTGAGGACAGACAGATTGTCTTTTTAATTGACCTCAATTATATTTGACGTCACAGATATCAAATAATTCATAAATGATATAGCTATATCTAGATAACCAGTTAAATAAGGCATTACTGCTCTCCTTATCGTTCGCTTTGTATCCATGCCAACAAATGTGATGTCATAATCGTGATGATGTCATTTCCTATAGTGTCTTGTTTTAATAATTTGATTCCAAATGTCAATCTCTTGTGCTACATCGTTATTTTATGGTAAACTTTACAATTTGAGCAGAGTTTTTGAAGTTAAAAGATTTAAAACAAGCAATTCTTACAAGAATATCATCTTAGGATCATGGCCAGAAAATCCGGACATTTGAGCCCGCAATCGCAGCGGTACTTCGCGCATAAATGCATAAAAACATGTTTGTAAATTTTACAAAGAAATGTATGGATCAAAAAAAATATTTGAGAATAACATTTGATCTGTTTTAATTGGAAAGATTCCATAGTTGAATTCGTAGAGGGAAACTATTCTTGATTCCACTGTAGGAAATCCAAATAAATCCAATA